TCAATTCTAGAATAATCTGCAATTTTACTTAAAATATAATTAGCATTTGACAGTATTAACATAGAGAATTTGATGACACTTTATCAATCAAATACATCAAATAAAAATTGAAACTAATAGTAGAAACATGCTTTTACAAATATATAGTTTCAGAATCCATGAGGATCCACATAACTTTACAAAGTAGTTTTCTATTAAATTGAATTTATAAATTATGCCTCACTTTATAATGAACATCAAAGACTTAACCTGTCTGTTCAAGTCTCTTGCCAATGAATATGACAAAAGTCGGTTGGTAAAATGTGAGACTAAAGAGAGTCAAAGATGGCAATATGCATCAGCTGATACTGCTGCAGAGATAATAATGGAAATGACCAAGTATTTTCCTGGACTAATTATATTACTTGACTCTCTAGATAATTACTCTTTATGTGAAAGATATTACAATCATATTGTTGTTAAAAACTCTTTTACCAAATTGGTTACTAAAATAAATGACTCAACTCTTTTAGATTCAGAAGAAATAGAGAGAAAAAGGCCAAGACTCTCTAATAATAATGAGTTGCTGAACTTTGAAAAAACTTTTTCTGTTTTTGGAGTTCAAGTATCCTTGCCAGATCCAGTATACAAAGTACTTTCAAAAAGGATGCATTAATTAAATATTAAATAAATTTTATCTTTAATTTGGTGCATAAATTGACGAAAATCAAATAAATTGAAAAATGATCTAAATTTTTATTTTTAATTTTGCATCGGGCGATACTTTGTGGGTACTGCACATGTACACTTGCTGGACAAAAGTTTTGAATCGGGAATGATCAGCAATTTAGGTCACAAATTTTTAATATTTCTCAACTTCTCTTTAAATAAATTACGATAAAAAATATATCATTTTATTCAGCAAAAGTAGGGCTATTAATACATATATTTAATATCGGGTTGGATACTCATTTGCATCAATTACAGCTTGCACTCTCCTCGACATAGTTTCAACCAAATTTTTTAAAATTTCCGGCCCGATTTCATTCCATTCCTCCACGAGTGCATCCATCAATTCTTCCGGATTTTTGGGATGTGTTGGTTGTGGACGAATTTGTCTTTCCAAGACATCCCATAAATGCTCAATTGGATTTAAATCAGGACTCTAGGCAGGCCATGGAAGTGAAGCTAATAGTTTTCTTTCTCTCCATTAATCAACATAATAACTTCTGTGAACCGGCGCATTATCATCTTGAATAAGATGAACAGAACTAGCTGGTAGTTCATCTAAAAATGCTGTTCAAGCAATTCTATATATTTTTGGCCAGTTATTGCACCGTGAACTTCGATTAATGGTCCGAGTGCATTCGGGTAAAACATCCCCATACCATTACTCCTGGATTACCCGATTGCATACTAGGAAGAAGACAATCAACGTCATATTTTTCAAGGAGTTGACGCCAAACCCATTGCTGTGAATCATTTCTGAATATTAAATACCTTGATTCATCACTCCAAATTACTAATTCTCATTCACGAACCCAATCTTTTCATTCTAGACACCATTTTAATCATTTACGACGATTTTCCTCAGGTATAAAAGTTTTCTTAGACCAGCCCGACCAAAAAACTCACTTTCATGAAGATTACGACGTATGATTTTAGAACTAACCGAAATTTCCAAACCAGTATTGAATTTTTCAGTAATTTCATCAACTGATTGTTGCCGGTTATCTTTTACAGAGTTGATTATTCTTCAGGTATCTCTATCATTTAATATTGGTGGTTTTACCGCTTCGGGCAGCAACTGTGTTTTGGCTAAACTCTTTATATTTTTGTATGGCATTATGAACTGTAGATTTGGGTCGTCCTAGAGTTTCTACTATTTTTGTTTGGAAAAACCACACTTCCAAGCGCCGACTATCTCGCCGCGATCAAAATCCGTAAGTTGGCAATTTCTGCGAGTGTTGGTTGAGTTTGACATATTGTTTTATATCGTTTTAAAGCTTAAGATTTTAGCTTTCTAAAGAGCTATTGAACGTTAAAATTGGACGTTTGTGTAATGCACAAATAACGATGCAACTCACCCCTTTATTTATGTCGATCACACACCGATTCGTATTGTACACATTAATTTTTTCGTGTTACGTCAATGTAAATAAAGGAGCATAGACGACATAAATAATATTGTAAATTGAGAGCAACCCATCGTCCTCTCGATTTTTATTACAATAAACAACAGAACATCAAAACATGGACCAGAAACAAACTGATATGGCGACTACAATTAATGATTTACTGATTATCTTTGACAATATCGTCAAAACTTATGAAAATTTTGATACAAATTTAACAAAGCTTACTACAATTATTTTGGAAACAACAAAAGTGCCCTTGGATAAAATAAATCTTTTACAAAGGTTACAAGATAATATACAATATCATACAATTCTAGGCTTTATTTATCATATGGGTTTGAATACTGAAAAAGATTATGATCACGCTTTACAATATTATCAACAAACAGCAACTCAAGGAGATGTTATTGCACAATACCTAATTGGGGAATTATACTATGAGGAGGCTTGGATTAAAAAAAATGAACAAAAAGCATTCGAATGGTATTTAAAATCGGCAAAGTCTGGATACCCTCAAGCACAATTTGCGCTTGCTCTCTGCTATGAAAATGGCAAAGGAACAATTAAAAATGAACAAAAAGCATTCGAATGGTATTTAAAATCCGCAGAGTCTGGATATTCTTAAGCACAGTATAATCTTGCTTTCTGTTATGAAAATGGCGAAGGAACAATTAAAAATGAACAAAAAGCATTCGAATGGTATTTAAAATCCGCAGAGTCTGGAGATCCTCAAGCACAATTTTTTGTTGCCAGGTGTTATGAATTTGGAATAGGTGTAGAAAAGGATGAAGACAAGGCATTTGAAATTAATTTAAAATATGCTCATTCTGATAACATGTTTAGTCAATTTTTTTTAAGATTTAGTTATAAAAGGGATTCAATTGCAAAAGAAACAGAAGAGATTTTATTTAACTATCTTTTAATTTCCGCTAAAAATGGCAATTTTCATTCAATTTTTCGACTTGGGCAATGCTATGAATACGGAGAAGGTACAATTAAAGATGATAATAAAGCATTTGATTGGTATTTAAGAGCAGCTGAATCTGACACAAAAAAGCACAATTTAATATTGGAAAATTTTACCATTACGGAATAGGAATTTCAAAAAAATCTCGAAATGGCTTTAAAATGGTATCAAAAAGCTAATGAGAATGGACATGATATAGCGGCTGAAATTGTTGAATCTTTTAATTTTGAAGAAATTTTTTCAAATTGGTAGTTAAATTTTTTAATTTTATCATCTATTTTTAGAGATTTTTAAATTCTAAATACGTGTAATTTACTAGCTCAGGATTATAATATAGCTTTAACTATTTGAAAAGGTAAATAAAAATAACGAAAATAATTCAAATGAACTCTAAGATCAGATTGAAATTTGGCAAGGTGAAATAAAAAGTCTATGAACTGATAATGTAAAAGAATACTCTAATCATTATTATGTAAAGTGGATCAAAAATGTAAGAATTGATTATATAGATGTGAATTGAAACGAGAAATTTGAAGATGCTTTAATTTAGATAGCATTGATAAAATGCTTGATCAAGTTAGATCAGCTGAAAATATTGAGAATATAATGACAACGATTACATGTATCTCGTTTTGTTTTTTATCATTTCAACCAATTCACATTTTACAGTATGGAATTAAATGCTCATCATTGTTATGAATGTACTGATTGTCAAAAATAATTAGTACTGTGATGAGTGTTTAGTTCATAATATTCATGATTGTAGTGAATGTACTATTGTCAAAAAGATGAGTACCGCTGTGAAAATTTCAAATATCACAAACGAATTATAACGATGAATTGACTAGCGGAGATAAAGATATCGATAATCTAATAAATAATGTAACAAATTATAAATAGATTATTTGAACGGATTCTTTTTGAAAGTTTTACCAACGTTGAATATCTTGCAAAAGGTGGTTTTGGGTTAATTTACGTATAAAGCCATTGAATGATGTTTATAAGTGGGATCATGAAGAAATAAATTTAAATACAGAGATGGAGAAAGAAAAGTTGTGTTGAAATCATTGCACAATTCAAAGCAAATTACTCCAGAGTTCATACACAAGGTAAAATAAAACATTCTCTAAAATGAAAATTATTTTTTGTTTTCTGGTACAGTCAATTTTTCAAAAATAAATTCAAATTGCTCTTATTATTATTATTATGGAATAACTAAAAACACGAATATCGTTACTGATAACTTATCGTTAGATCTCCGTAAATATACATGTACTGATTGTCATACGTGTTGGCGTTGTCAAGGAAATAAGTACTGCGATTAGTGTTTCAAATATCACAAACGAATTTATAACGAATAATAATTGAATTTTTTAAAAATAGATTCAGATTACTCTTATGCAGTATAATATTTTTGTTGGTTTCGTTTTGTACAAGATATACGAATGAAAACTCCAATACGTAGTAATGAATTATAGCCAGGCGAAAAAATCTCCAGTTCTTGTGATTTTTTAAGGGTAGGGTAAATCAATTAAATCGCAAGATCAATGTGTAACGGAGAAATTCAAACCAATGTTAAAAATAGTTTGTACATGTACATCTATCTCAACAAAAAATGTTGCTTGCGAAATTTTACTATAATATTTTCTCCCGTGGAATATGTTCTTAACTTCATGCCTCCGCTTTCGTGAAAATTCTTGCAAGGTTCATACTTTGTACATTATGACTAGAGATGTTAAAAGCCCGGTCTGGTTAACTCGGCTCTAAAAGTTAATAACTCGGTCTAAAGTCAGACTCGAGTATAAACTTATTCGTCATGTGATATGCAGTTTATTACGTAAAAATAAGTAATAATATGTATTCGATATTATCATGAACAAGTTCGAATTTCCGTTTCTGTTTATCAACATTTTTGATTATATAGCTTCATTAATATTGCGAGGAGTTATTTCATAAAAAAGTAAGCGTTGGTATTGCTCCGGACTTAATTCTAACAATAAAACTACCTCTTGAGCAATGGCTTCACCTTCACGATCGGGGTCGGTGGCTAGATAGATTGAAGAAATTTTTTCTCTGTTATATTGTTAATAATTATATTGCTTTTGAATTCACTCTCAAAAGAGCTTTGAATTTCATTAAATGAAGGATATTTAGATATAGAAGTCATTAATAATAGAATGGTTTCAAAATCAAAAAATAAATGACTTTATATATTTTTTGTTAATAATTAAATTAATACACTATAGTAAGGGACTTGTATGTTAATAATCTAATAATTAAAATCGGTAGTTTTTTTGTAATTAAATAAAAAACGTTCTTTAATGTTGTTAATTAATTAAAAACACCAATTTTAATTGACTTTGTTTTGAGACAAATTATATTTAAATTATCTAAAAATCCTTTTGTTCAGAATTTTTAAAGAATCCTTTGTTTCTCAAGAAATAATTACGTTACAAGATAGCACCTGATCTTATCATGTGATTTTTGGGATTGGTCCCTCGAGTCTAAACTCGACTCAAAATTGTCCGGGCAAAAGTCGACTCAAAAGACGTACTCCATGAAAAGTTAATATCATTTTTTGATATTAAATGAAATATTATCTATATAAAGTTCAAAAATAAATTTTAAACCTTAAAATATTCGCAACCAACAATTCGAATTGGAATAAATTTTTAATAAAAGTTAGCCTTGGGATTGATTCTGTTACATGTCCATGCATTCTTTTGCACAAAATCGAACAATGATTTTAAATATTCGCCGACTTATACATGTAATATCAAATTATCGGAGTCAATACGAATGAGATCCTATCCCTCAAACTAAATAATTGGAAATATTTAATATATATTAGGCTTTGTAAGAGTAATGCATAGGATTCTGTATACATGTAATATGAATATGTAATTGGAAAAGCTTTTTAATGTTTCTTATACGAGATCATTTCCATGATTTTGTTCATCAGTTGCAAATTTCGTTCCAAAGCTATAAATATTTGCAAGGTTAGGGTATGGTTTTCTATTTAACCCATACTTCCTATACTTTGATTACATGTAGAACTTAACGTAGATATATATTAAATTTTTTTTTACTTGATTAAAACCAATGTTCAGCACAATCTCGGAAACAAATCCCGTCACATACATAAAGGATTTAATGAAATTTCAGATCAGATATAGAACGATTCTCTATATTCTTTGAAATAACCCAGTATCTTAGCCGGAATCAATTAAATATGATAACCTTGCTTAATGGTAACTTCTACTATTATATGTATTAGTAACATGATATTCTTACAAAAATTTTTACGATCTCGAAGATTTTGTTTATCATTAGAAATTTCATACTTCTACATTATCCCCTTATTGCGTGATCCATAATCACAATAATAATAATAATTTAAATTTCTCTTATACTTCATATTGTATATAATATTATAACTTAATTCTATTTTTGTTATTATATTAAATGTTATTATAACCTTTTATTTCGAAGCATAGACATCCTTCTTATAAAAATATTCTTACTAAACTTCAACATTTGTGCTTATAAAACCTGTATTGCATTATGATTATAATTTAGAAAGATGAATAATAACCAAAACTATGTATGTATATATGTAATAGCTCTCAAAGGTCTGAGATACAGGCTATATATTAGTTTGAAGAAAAATAATCAATAAAAATTATTTTAGGTTTTACTCAACTACACTTCAGCTTTTATTTCTTTTGTGTCATAAGGAAATTGTTAGATTTATTTTTTTATGCTTAACAAAATTGAAGGTTAATGCATTTCTTTTGATTATTCATTTATTGTTTGAGAATAAACTTAATTTTGTGGTTTGGATGTTAATTGGTATTACATTTTATTCTTCACCTTTACCATTGAATTTCTTTATCCTTGATTGCATAATCTTCGTGTAAGAATGGCATTTAGAACTCCACATCGTGTTAATCATTAAGTCTAGCTCTCGACCTTTGTTGCATTTACAATCCTTATAGTCGATCTGACTTTTAATTGTGTGTGAAAGAGTTAAATTTTAAGCAGGTTGAATTAATATTCACAAAGCTTAACTATTGTTTCCGGGAATATTCCTCATAATGATAATTTTAAGAAAGTTTGCTTAGAGTTACAGCGCGTATCTTATCCGAAATAATTTTTCCTAAAGGAGGAATACGCGTTTTTGTTATTTATGTGGTAACTATCTCTCTTTTAGTAAATAGCATATACTGATGATTATGTGTCAATTAATGTGACTTTGTATTATAATTAACCAATTGAGCCGGCAACTATTTAAAAGGAAGGTGATTTTTCATTAGGATCATATTATTCTTAGAGCTGGGAACGAGGATTTTGTAAAATTATCTCGCTGTTATTTTTTAATAGTGCTCCAAGATAGATTTTGAGCTTCTTGCGCCGGTTTGTTTTACCGGGTTGATCAAAAATTTACGCATTCTAATTGGTCTGTAAGTACATGTGATCAGGAACCGATTGACGACCAATACATGATCAACTTGGTAAACCAAAGAAAATGAAAAATGCGAATATGTGAAACAGATGCCTAAATTTTAGCTTGGAACACTAATAAAAAATATAGGGAGAAATTTTACATATAATTATTGTCACTACTCGTCTTGGACCATTGGGGTTTTTTGAATGTCACTGTCGGGATTTTGGGTGTCGGAGTGTTTGACGGTGCCCATTTTTTTCTAGCAGTTTAAAAACAAAGAATTAATGTAATATAACAGAAAGAAATACATGTATAGTTTTAAGGTCTTTAATTAATTATTTTTAAATATCACATTAGTGAGAACTTCTTTTTTGTTATCATTATATATGTTTTAACCTTTATATGAATTTGTAAATAAAAATTAAAACTGTAGCGGTAGCTTTGAAAATGATTTTCTTCATATTATATATCAATTTTATCGTGAGTTTTCAAGTTAGTTTTAACGTTGAATCTTTTTAACCTCTACGTCTCACATTTCGAAACATAAATTACAATTAAAAAGCGCTCGAATTGCAGTAAAAAATGCAGGCTGAATCAACGTCAAAAAATTATTAATGAAATAACAAACCATTAAAAAAACTTCTGACCAAGAACTTCAAATAATACATGGTACAATATTTAATATCTCGAATATTAATAAATCTAGAGTATATAATCTTAACGACATGATCAAATCTATATCTCATCTTTTATATGCGATGAAATACCCACAAGATTGACCATATATGCAAAAAATATATATATCTAACTCTCTGGAAAATCGTTAAATGCATTTAAGTCATCAAACAAACAATTAAAACAAATATTACAATGATATAAAGACCATGTTCTTGCACAATTTAAGCTGTTTAACATTATATCTAATTTTTATTTACGAAAATGGGAGTAAATGCGCAAAGATAAAACGTTTATGTGTAATACCATTTAAGCAAAATGCTTTATAATTCAAAGTTATATACCAACAAATAAACTGATATTACATTATTCAATTTGTTCTCATAAACAAATTTTTCAAACAGCGATTCTAGACTTTATAGAAAAATTAAAAATTCAAACATACACGCAATAACAACAAACATTCAAAACAATTATGATAAACATAAACACATTTAAAATACATCTACATGTATATAAGTTTTCTTTTAATGCATATCGTTTCTTCCACAATCACAAACGAACTATAAATTTCATGGCATTACTGAAATTTTGCACCGTAAAGGAAGACATTATTTAATGCAGATGTTCTAATGACGTATGTACATGTACGTACACTCCCTGGTCAAAAGTCTCCGACCACCTGATTTAAGATTACAGATCATTACCTTTTAAACTAAGATTACGCCAAAACTATTAAATAAAATTTTTTTTCCATGCAGTTCTTGACTTCAGCCACCTAAAAATAAAAAAAATTTTTCTTTTACAATGTTCAAAAGGCGTGAACTTACTGAGTTTGAATGAGGAGAGATTATAAATCTCTGGAAAGGAGGTCATATTGAATGAAATATTGGAGAAATTCTTGGACATTCTAAATCACTATTCATGACACTATAACAAAATATAAAAATTCAGGAAATGTTAAAGATGCTCCATGTTTAGGAAGGCCATCAAAGCTCACAGAAAAGAAATTAGAAGTCTTGTAAAATTAGTTAAGGAAGATCAGCAACAATCACTAGATAAAATAACAAAAAAATTTAGTGAGTCTTTATAAATTTCAATATATTCTAGTACTATAAAGGTGTACTTTACATATTGAGAGATTTTATGGATGAGCTGGAAAGAGAAAATCATTTATTTCTGAACAAAATTGTAAAAAAAGACTAGAATGGTCATGAAAGAAGAAATTGGAATGATGAGTGGAATTTTGAGTGATAAATTTTGCTTTATATTATTTCAAAATGATGCAGATCATTGGATTTGGCATAGATCACATGAAAAATAGGATGTAAGTTGCTTAATTCCAACTGTAAAATCTGGAAATCAAGGAGTTATAATATAGAGATGTTTTGCAAAAGATAAAATTGGTCTTTTAATTCAAGTTTCAGATAGAATAACAGGTTCTATATATATATAGACATATTAGAAAATACTTTTATAATAATTTAGAAAAAAATTCACAATATATTTTTCAAGATGATAATGTCCCAATATATAGGACAAGAATGAACAATCAATGGAAAGAGAATAATTTGATATTAAGTCTTCCATGACCTGCAAGAATCCAGATCTTAATCCAATTGAACATTTGTGAAATGTTTTGGAAAGAAGGGTTAGAAAATATAAACCTCATTCAAAAAATATTGTGGAATTAATGACAGTTTTGGAGGAGTGGAATAAAATTGAGCCTGAAATTTTAACAAATTTAATTGAATGTTTGCCAAGGAAGGTTCAAGCAGTATTAGATAGCCATGCAAATCCAACTAGATATTAATAAAATACATGTTTTTCTGAATAAAATGATATAAACTTTTTATAATGTTGTTTATAAATTTTCAAGAAATTAATTGTGCATTTTTATCCGGTTTTAAAGTGGTCGGACACTTTTGACCGGGGAGTGTACATATATGCGTGCGCATACTTGCGTATTGTTCGCATAAATGTAGTCCGAACGACATTAGTCATCAACCGATGTTCTAATGCAATAGATCACCACCAATTAAGGC